GTTACACTATTCAAATGAGAAGGAAAACACACTGGAAGTTGTGGGTGTCTCTCACACTTCAGTAAATTGCAACTTATGTTTTGTTTCAGATTGACGTCACAGGCCACAGAGGAAGATAAGTGGTAAGGGGAATTCTCATGTCCTCTCCCTCCATAAAGGACATATTACATCACCCCATATTAACCCCTGAAACACTGTCCTGCCTTACAGATTGAAACTAAATCCAAGGTCACACAGAAATTGAGTATTTAGTAAAATGGTACAGTTTTACATTACTTTATAAAGTAGTGAAACAAAACCTTAAAGTGAAAAGGTACATTTTAAAGGCAAAAACCGGCTACAAATCACACTAGCCCTTAAGTTTCCCTCCCAGTTTTTGCTGCAGTCTTGTGAGTGGTGTGCAGTTGCAGCATATGATCGGTCAGGAGCCCATATGGGTGGCAGCAGCAGGGACTGAGGCGTTGTGTGTCCTCCCAGATGGCATGCAAGAGAGTGGAGCCTCATGAAGCCTCTGACAGGAGCTTGTGAGGGCTATTTCTGCTCTGGCACTGACTGTGGTTACGCATTGTACAAGTCATCTGTTTGGCTTGTAAGTGTTTGTGAGAACAGCTTTGTAAGTTCTTCAGCTGGGGTCCTAGCTGTCAGAATAATTTTCTGCACACTGTAAAGTATTTCAGCATGGACTGAACTAAGCTCTTGCTCCCCCTCCTGGAAATGACAGATAATGATTTCTCAGAATAGTCCGTTTTAAACTACCATAGTGAAACTTAGTTTAAGTCTAAGGCTGGATTAGAATTTTTTTTTCGTTTTGGATGAATCATCAACACCTGGGTATATATACAGATGTAATAACACAATTTGAATGCATTACTACTGTTCAAACTTAGGGATGTGAACAAATTCCAAGTATTTTTTTTTCCTCATACTGTCATTCTCTTTCACAGTAGCACCATGCAGTTTGTGATACTGTCGTATATGAAGCAGCTCGGCGTAAAAGTGAAGGAGTCTCGAGGGCTGGAGCACAAGCCCAAGCTAATGAATCTTTTCCCTAAAATAAAGGTACAAACTCTCAGGAAACTTCCTGACTCTGTCTCCAAATGACTCCATGAAACCAAAGAAACTTAACCATTGTCTTTGTGCTCCCTTAACAGAAAAGCATAAAGCCTGAGAAAGATGGAAGTGAGGAGAAATCAAAGAAAACACGATTTCCTAATGTCTTTCCTCAGAGACGGCCGAGCAGGATTGACACTTCAGCAAGTAAGCTGATTTATTTCATTAACAGTTAAACCAGTGGTTCTCAACCTTTTTGATTCAAAGTTACAAAGTTACAAAATTATTTAAAGGCCCTGCCCATATTGTCTAAGATAATTCCTCCTATATTTCTACTGTAATGATAATGCTGCTTGTTTTCAAACTCTTTTGTAAACAGAAACTGGGAGTGTTGATATATTAAATTAACCAAAATGTATTTTATGATTTCAGAAGCTACAAGATTGTGATTCTTTATGTTCTTTAATAAAAACAATTGTCTTGGGAGGGGGAAAAGAAATCTTGATTATTGTGTGTGTGTGTGTGTGTGTGTTTTATAATTTAGTTTTTTATTGATATGCTTTTTTAAGTAATCTGGCCTTGAGAACCACTGGATTACAACACAGGTTTAGTTTTGTAGTTATGTAGACAGTAGCAGAAATGTCAGCTATTCATAAACGAGGTCGTTTACATATAGTCTTAAAGGTACAGTAGCAAAAAAGAGAGGCCTGTTTAATTCTAGGATTTAGAGATGGTGAAATGGGGTTTAAAATGAATTAAATAATATTTCTCAAACCTAGAGGAATACTATTAGTGAACTTAAAATCGATAAATTAACCAAAATGTATTTTATGATTTCAGAAGCTACAAGATTATGATTCTATATGTTCTTTAATAAAAACAATTGTCTTGGGAGGGGGAAAAGAAATCTTGATTATTGTGTGTGTGTGTGTGTGTTTTATAATTTAGTTTTTTATTGATATGCTTTTTTAAGTAATCTGGCCTTGAGAACCACTGGATTACAACACAGGTTTAGTTTTGTAGTTATGTAGACAGTAGCAGAAATGTCAGCTATTCATAAACGAGGTCGTTTACATATAGTCTTAAAGGTACAGTAGCAAAAAAGAGAGGCCTGTTTAATTCTAGGATTTAGAGATGGTGAAATGGGGTTTAAAATGAATTAAATAATATTTCTCAAACCTAGAGGAATACTATTAGTGAACTTAAAATCGATAAAAATGAAGAGGGAAAAACTGGTTCATTTCTCAGAAAAAATTATTTTTTCCCCAGTTTCTGTTAGGGTGAAATCTGGCATAATTTAGTTCCTTGTGAAGCTCCTTGTGGGTTTATTTTACTTCCCTGTTTGTAACCATTTTATACAGACAACCACCCACTTGTAATCTCCTTTATTTTGAAGACACAAATACCATTCAGGACTCAATGCTAAGTTTTTTTTTCTACTGGCCCTGCCACAAAATTAAATAAATAAATAAAAATAATAAATTGCTTGTTTATTTTTTATTTTTTAGTAAATAATGTTGTCACAACACCAAAATTTTAGATACCAGTGACATTTCACAATTCCCTTTTTCAGTTTCGATATCACAGCAAAAACTACTATCCTAACTATTATAAAGGTTAAACATTAGTGAAGACAAGTAAACAGTCAGTAATAAAATAAGAACAATCATCGAGCAAATAAAATGAAACAAATGAAACAAACAATGCTTCGAGTTTTTCAGATAGGTCTAACACTAATTTCTTTAATATTTCTTTCCTCTGCATACTAAAGGGTTAGTTCACCCAAAAATGAAAATTCTGTCATTAATTGCCCACCCTCATGTCGTTTCAAACCCGTAAGACCTTCGTTCATCTTCGGAACACAAATTAAGATATTTTTGATGGAATCTGAGAGCTGTCTGACCCTGCATAGACAGCAACGCAGCTGAAATGTTCCCAAGTCCTGAAACGTAGCAAGGAGATCTGTAAAATAATCCATGTCTTCAATTTTTGAGTGAACTAACCCTTTAAGTAAGGTAATCAATGTAAAATAATCACTGCTCTGTCCTCACTGAATTAAAAATTTTCTCCCAATTTTATATGTGTGTTTATATATATAACAATAATTCCATCAACTGTCCTGAGGGACTTTCACGCTGACCCAGGCAAACAGGCAGTCCTTATTGGCGAGCCCCGACACTGATGTTGCTCTCTCTTTCTCTTGCCCTGCAGTCAGCAGGGCTCTGGAGCCGAGGCAGCGTCAGACAAAGCCTCAGCTGCCGTTGGGCGCTGGAGAGCAGGCAGACGGGTCGTCTCCTCCCGTACGGAGCAGTCAGTCGAGTGAAGGCTCAGATGGCACCACTGCCCTGGTCACGTCACCCCCTTACAGTGCTCCAGCAGCACAGGGCACAGACAGCATCAACCGAGAGTCTGAGGCTGGTGAGAGACGCTTCACAGATCATTGTTGTCAAGTGTCTGTGCTTTTAAAAGTTTTCCTTCTCCAACTCTTTTTTGATATTTTTGGGGCTGTCAGTTGATTTAGATGAATGAGTAGTGCAAGATTTGAAGTCATGGACCGCAATTAAGTGTTGTCTATCAGTGAGATATGACTACAACCAAATGAATTACATTATATGCCAATTAATAATCAAACTGATCATTTAAATTTGAGTATTGGCTGAGAAAAGCCCCACAAAGAAGATCAGCCATGATTATTTTCTTGCCAACACTTTACAATAAAGTTCCATTAGTTAAGTAGGTTAATTAACGTGAAACAACAATAAAAAGGTTTTCATTTTGATAAAAAGTTTTTCACAAAGAATTTATTCATTGTAATGTTACTTTTTAAAGGGGTCATATGACTCGATTTCAATTTTTCCTTTCTCTTTGGAGTGTTACAAGCTCTTGGTGCATAAAGAAGATCTGTAAAGTTGCAAAAACTAAAGTCTCAAATCCAAATAGATATTCTTTATAAAAGTTAAGAGTCGTTTGCTAATACATTATTCAAATACAAAGTTAATATTATTTAATAGAACGGAGTAAACAACGAACAGTGAGTTGTATGTTTATTAACATTAACAAAGATGAATAAATACTATATTTAAATAAAAATAAATACTGAGTTAACTAATGGGAACTTATTGAAAATCTTATTGAAAATCGTTACCTCACTCTTTAATGTCTTTAATCTTTCTCTCCTTTTTTCCCCTCCACTGTCATTGTGCCCTCTCATAGTTATCCGCCCTTAATGATTACTCTTTCTGTCCTCTCCCTTGCATCATATTTCTACTTATTTCCCAGCAGCTGTATTACAAATACTTAGAATCTTATTTCTTGACTCAAGATTTGAAAAATTACCAAATTACCAAAAAAATTCGAAATTACCAAATAGGATAGGATTCTAATTTAAGCTGTTTCTGTAATACAACCCTAGATTTGTTTTTAGATAATTTGTATTTTTTTTTTGTTTTATAAGTTTGCTTTGTCTGAGCTCTGTCAGTGTTCTCCTGGTTGTTGGGGTCAAGGCTTAAATCTGCTGACTACGTTTTTTTTAGAAAATAATTGGCCTGTTTTACTTTTTTTTAAATTTTGCATTTTAATGGGAGATGGTCAGATTGTGCCCACATTTAGAGAGAGGGATATTTCTTACGTGTTTCAATGAGAGAGTTAATTCATTGTGTGCATATTTGTATTGTTTTTTTTGTTTGTTTCAACTTTAAACGTTCAAAGCCCAGCAAAGGCCAGTTTCAAGTTGCCTTTCCTTATGAAGCTTCTTCTATTCAGCACTGATTTCAAAAGCTTTTCATTTTCTGACACACTGTCTCTCTCTGGCTGTGGTCTTAGGTGGACTTCCCTCTTCTGCACTACCTAGACTGGGAGACGGTGTCGTCCCGGGAGATCTGCAGGACTCGTCCTCTTCAAACACTCACTTTGACTTCAGCCCCTGTACACTGGAGCATCTACTGGAGGAGGAAGCTGAGACAGACAAGTGAGTCAAGTGATCACCATCCAGGCTTATATTAATAAAATCACCTTTTCACACTGCACACAATCCAGATTTATCAAATCACATACTCCGTCATTATCTGGTATGTCCTCAGCAGGTAGTAGAACAATATAATTAGCATCCTGACTGAGGGTGTTCACACTTGTAGTTCGGTTAGTTTGGTTAATTTGGTCCGGACCAAAAAGGAAAATGATACATTTGGTCCTGGTCCGCTTAGCATTCACATTGGCATTTTTGACAGCGAACCTAAAGACACCGAACCTAAAGGCATAGTGATACGTTCACAACCTGATTGGTCGGCTTGAATGACGTATATATCGTGACGGAACTCACCGAACACCCCAAACAAAAGGTGCGTTAGACTTAAAGCGGCGCTGCGGGTGTATGATATCAAAGCACCCATTAACCGATCGGTCTGCTTAGCGCTGCTTTAAGTCGAACACACCTAATGCCGTCTGCTGGACTAAGCGCGCTCATTCTTGCGTGTACATATAATTTTATTTTCACCACCTGCAAACTCACAAGGAGCTCATAAAAGGCACTTTAACTCATCGTTGCTCCACGTTTGCCCTCTGCTCATTTTGTTTGGTTTTATACAGTGTCGTCAAATCATGTCGAATAGCGTCGCATCTTGTCATTACTTCCTGCTTTTGGTTTGTTTAGAAGTATTTGGTCCGTGTTGCGTTCATACATCATTCGAACCGCACCAGAGTTCGTTTGGAAGCGGACCGAGACCCATCTTTTCAGTGGTCTTGGTCCGCTTGTTTGGTGCGCACCAGGGTTCGGATGGCAGTGTTCACACTTACTCAAACGAACCACACTAACAGAGCAATCGCACCAGGGTTCATTTTAATCGAACCAAACATGACAAGTGTGAACCCTAAGAAGATAACCTAAAATTTTTATACTGACTGGATTTCTAAATATCACATTTTAATCTTAAAACCACATTTAGATATTGTTTTATGAGGTCTTGTGCACCTTTTTGCTGTTCAGACTGCAAAACCTGAAACTGGTTTGAGTCTGAACTACACTACCATTCAAAAGTTTGGAGTCAGTTTTTTTTATATTCTAAAAGACACATTAAATTGATCAAAAGTGATAAAGACATTTATAATGTTACAAAATATTTCTATTTCAAATAAATGCTGTTCATTCCAACAGAAATGTCAGTTTCCACAAAAACATTAAGCAGCACAACTGTTTTGAATATTGATAATAATAGTAATTATTTCTTAAGCAGCAAATCATTATATTAGAATGGTTTTTGAAGGATCATGTGACACTGAAGACTGGAGGAATGATGCTGAAAATACAGCTTTTTTTCATCACAAAAATTCAGCTTTGCCATATATAAAATATATTAAAACAGCAATTATTTAAAATCGTAATAGTATTTTACAATCTTCCTGTTTTACTGTATTTTTAAATAAATGGTAGTGTAAATAAGCCTAAAAATTGTCACTCCAAAAATGCATTTATATTGGATTTGGATTTAAGATGAGCAGTCGCTGTCTCATAATCGGGCTGTTTTGAGTAAGAGCGGTCTCAGCGGCCACGATACAGGCCTCACAGCTATTTTTGTTCCTTAAGTCTCTGTAGTGATGATGCACATACAACATTTGAAACAAAGCTTTGCTCTGTGGTGTTCTGTTCTGTAAATGATCTTACTGGGACAGACAGAGAAGGAAGCTTGTGCCTCATGACTTGGGGCTCTAGGGAAGAGAAAGAGAGCGTTGACAACATGCAGCGTTTGGGATGTTGGGATTCTTACTGCTGTAGGGTAATTGGAATGTGATTTACCTTACAGGACGCAGGACACCGGCACCCCCAGGCCTGACAGGAGGTGAGTGCTCTCTCTTTGGTGGTTGACCAGTGTGTGTTTTTCAGTGGTCGATGCTGATATCACTTCTTGGCCATTTCAGACAACAGTATAAGCATTAATGTGACAAAACACACATGTAATAAAACAGAAGAATTTTCAGTAGTGTTCTCGGTCTTTTTGGATCCCATTGAGTAACAGTACAAAATATAAGGTTGTGCTTTTAATACACAGAAAATACACAAACATTTAA